GTGAGGTTAGACGCAGGGTATTAGGGAATGATGGTAAATCAGTTGATGAGGTTATGAATCTTCATCGACTGAGATGGTTGGGCCACGTGTTACGCATGCCTGAATACCGATTACCACGACGTGCAGTGCTATCCGGTTTTGAAAATGGTTGGAAGAAAGTTAGGAGCGGCCAAACCAAAACGTGGCATCAGTGCCTGAAGTCACTAACTTCTAGTCTGAGCCATGTTGGTAGATGCAGACTACTTGGTTGGGGTCCGCGTGACTTTCGTAACCAATGGTTGGAGACTCTTGGTGACATGGCTCAGAATCGATCACAATGGCGTCGGTGTATACACTCCATGTCTTCCCTTAAACTAAGAGATTAAAATCACTTCATATCTTTCTTTCTACGAACTAATTCTTTCTTTCTATACTATATCCTTATTGCAACCTTTGACCTAACCACTCCTATGAATCTGGTGTTCATCTTGCTGTGCTAATGAGGTATGACAACATGGACCGATGCACATATGTGCCTGGTCCTACGTTGTAGCTGACTGAGAATGTCCTAAACACTTGTATTCCTATATAAACTAAAGGATAAGAATAAAAGGAAATATTCATGCTCTATGGAGAGACAGTACTGCTTCATCATTAGTGGAGGACGACTTTGGAAAGCCTTTGATAAAGTACCTCATAATCTTCTAATCAACAGACTGAAGTCAGTTGGAATTATAAATCCCCTTTTGCAATGGATCAAGTCTTTTCTTACTAACAGATATCGAATAACCAAGATTAACTCTAATACATCTACACCTCGACCGATAACCAGTGGTGTTGTGCAGGGTAGCGTCTTGGGTCCATTGCTCTTTATAATCTACATCAACAACATATGCAGGTGTTTTAGCACAGGTAAGACCTACCTCTATGCCGATGACTTAAAAGTCATCTATAAAACTGACATTTGCGATTTACGCAGTACTACGCAAACAATCCAACATGAACTCAACATGGTAGATGACTGGTGCAAACGCTGGAGGTTAGAGCTCAACATAGAGAAATGCGGCTGGTTATGTATAGGAGACACGTCTCTTAAAATGAAACTAACACTTAGCGATCACACACTGCCCAAACTGGCATCAGTAACTGACCTAGGGGTACATTACTCACACAGTCTTAATTTCTCTGAACACATCTCAGCCAAAGCATCCAAAATGAGGAAATTGCTTGGCTTCATTCTCCGTAATTTCTATCAAAATGAATCTAAAATCCTTCTTTACAAAGTTTGTGTAAGACTTATCGTTGAATACTGCTCGTTCTTATTTTCCAACCTACGTCTATCTGATATACTAAAGGTGGAAGGAATACAACGAGACTTCACCCGCAAAGTACTTAAGACTGACTCGGTCATAGACTACAGTTCTCGATGCCAAATCTTAGGAATAGCACCCCTTTGGGAGAGAAGGCTTAGGTCTAATTTGATTCTCTACTTCAAACTACTCAAAAACCTTACTTACTCAACATGTCAGATAATTCTTGCCCGAGATTCACATGAATACGGACTTCGAAACAAAGTATCTACGGTCAAAGTTGAGAAATACAGATCAAAAACTCGGGAAAACTTCTTCCTCACCAAGTATGCAATAATATGGAACAGTCTTCCCTCTGAGACTCGCATGGCAGATGAACTACATACGTTTGTCAAACTGCTTGATCAAGCCCTCACTCGCACTGATCTTGCACATACGAACACATCTGCACCCCACTCAGACATCATAGGCTCTCTCCATGTCTAGACCAAAATGGACTTCAAGTTCAGTTTGCCTTATTTTTCCTACTTTGCAGTTGTATTAATTACTTTTTCCACCCCATTTCTTCACTTGAAGTAGACAGGTAACTCACTGGACCTATCATTACTATTAAACTAAACTCGGTCGATAAGGGACACTCACTACCACCCTAAAAAGTCAAGAGGACCGCACAATCGGTTGCCTACTACCAGTGGTCTTGCATCTATGGAGCCTGTTACCAATCAACTGGTCAGGACAACAGAAAATAACATCAGCACCAAGTTACTGTGAGTTCCTTCCTGTTTATCCTGTATTAACTTTTTACTCTTCTGCACACTATGTTGACTAGCAATTAATATTATTTCTCCACTCGTTACCTTATCCACAACTCATATACTTCTATACTTTTTCCGCCTGCTTAAATAAACAACTATCCTACAATATACCCTTCTTAACGCTTATACTCTTTGGCAAACTATACTTTATACTATAGTCAACAGAGGCACTGCATCGATGCTTTACCCACAGTCCATAGCTTGTAACTGCCTGATAAGCTAGTAAAATGGTACTTATAGAAATAGCGCTTTCCAACAAGTTGTGAAACAGAGGATTGTGTGAGGTATGACGTATATACAAAAATAAGCCTAAGTGAGCCTAACATCACAAAAGTAGTGAGGGTGGAGTTACTGACCAGCAAGCATTGATGGTGAGGGCGATAACTTCAAACCACCCGTGTTTGTGGGGACAGAACATTTTGTATGTATCAGGCTCTTTATAATTGAGAATAAGACAGTCAATCTAAGATATAGATTGTCTTCCTATGCTCACCACTCAGACTCATGTTTCCAATAATATGCTGGATTAGCTATTCTACTAAGACAACCTATAACATGCTAACTCGGACTTTTACACTAGGATTGCGTGGCTGACATCGGATGGACAAAAAAAGAAAAGAAAAAAGACAATGAAAGATATAGTCACTAGTATTAACACCTCACCCTCTATATACACACCCTTCTAATAAACCGCTTTCCTTGTACCAACCTTGACTTCCCTTCCTTCATGTGAGCTTACTCCAACTTGTTAAACATCACAACTCGTTGTTCTTTATTAGTACATTCTCTAATATGGAGCCTCTGACTTCACTTCACACTAACAAGACATTATATGAATTTATTCTAATTTATTATACCTCTGTCCGCTCTACTACACAATGTTAAGCAAACTTTGGCGTTCATATCCAAGTGCCTTGCTGCTCTTCTGTTTCTCTTTATTTTTCTCCTTCAGAATCTTGCTCTGACAGCACAGCTATGAAACTTCTGACGTTTGGAGCGAACTTGACGTACGCGTCCTCTCAAGGTCATAGTTTACAGCAAGCGCTCTACGATTTCACTTTATAACAACTATAAACTTAATAAGTTGGGAAGCATTTTGCGAACCAACAAATGTTGTAATTAATAGATCATGCCTGTAAAAACGGTGTGTACCTGCACATGCAGAAATATATTATTATTATTATTAAAAGTGTTCTCGAACTACTTTAGCAACGTATATACCATAGAAGCGCCCTTCCTGTCAGCGTATACAGATGCCCCCATACATACGCTGGATAGCGTGACCATTAAAGAACTCGATGTGTCTGGTCTGCTAAATAAGCTTGACATAGGTAAATCCACGGGGCCCGATGAATTACATTCTAGGCTACTGAAGGAATTATCTAACTTCGTTGCAAGCCCTTTAAGTACATGCTTTAACCTATCCGTTACGCAGGGTCGTTTACCGAAAGACTGGAAGAACTCCATAGTAAGTCCTGTCTTCAATAAAGGTACGAAACACAAACCTGAGAATTACCGACCCGTTAGCCTCACTAGTGTGGTTGTTAAAATTTTAGAAAAGATTATTCGGAAGGAGCTGTTTAAGTATCTCGATAAAAACCGGATCCTCTCGGAGAAGCAGCACGGCTTCAGAATAAGTTATTATTGTCTTACTAACTTGTTAGTGGCTCGTGAAATCTGGTGCGCTCTTAAGGACCAAAAGCTACCTGTAGACGTCGCCTTCATTGATTTCAGTAAAGCTTTTGATAAAGTTCCGCACAACCGGCTGTTATATAAGTTAAGACATGTCGGGATTGGAGGTAATTTATTGATGTGGATAAAAGACTTCTTAGTTGGGCGTCAACAAAGAGTAAGGGTGAACTCCAAGTTGTCTAGCTGGGAAACTGTGCTTAGTGGAGTGCCCCAGGGTACAGTTTTGGGGCCAGTGCTATTCCTCTTGTATGTAAATGACCTTCCTTGTCTCCTATCATCATCGGTCTTGCTATATGCTGACGATGTCAAGATATGGAGAACGATACGATGTAAGAGTGATAGCTTAGGACTTCAAAATGACCTGAAGAAGTTATCTGAATGGTCTCAAACATGGCAGTTGCCGATGAGTACTTCCAAGTGTGTTGTGATGCATACCGGTCATCAAGGCACAGATACATACACGATGAATAACACTGAGCTACCTGTCGTCCAGACATATAATGACTTAGGAGTTATCGTTAGTCAAGACTTAAAGACTACTGCACACTGCCGTGCAATAGCCGCCAAAGGTTTTAGAACCTTATGGTCAATACGTAGGGCTTTTAGTCATGTCGACGCTAAAACGTTTTTGACTTTGTATACAGTGTTCGTTCGTCCTAAACTTGAGTACTGCATACAAGCGGCTAGCCCCTGCTTAAAAAAAGACAGTGAGCTTCTGGAAAAGGTTCAGAGAACGGCGACTAAGCTGATTCCCGGAATAGCGAAGCTTCCGTATGAATCTCGACTGGCCAAGCTGAACCTTTTCCCGTTGTCATATCGCAGAACTAGAGACGACTTGATTACAGTCTACAAATTGCTTAGTGATAAATTTGCACCTGATATGCCCTCATTTTTCTTGTCTTCCAAAACAGAGAATTTACGAGGACACTCCAAAAAAGTTCATAAGCCAAGAACAAATTACTTGTCAGCTGACTATCGACTTTCCCATCGAATCATCAACGAGTGGAATTCACTACCTCAGCACGTAGTTGAGGCTCCATCCGTCGATTCTTTCAAAAGAAAGTTGGATCAACTGAGAGACCACCATTGCCAGGACTAACATAGACCATCGAACCTCCTGTCCTTCTCAAACTGAAACTGAAACTACTACTAGACACGGAAGCCTCTAATATTTCGTGCATAACCATTTGAATGAAACCTTTCCTCAATATTGAACCATTTAGTGCCGGGAGATTCCTTTTTACTACAGCTATTCGTACAGTCACTAAGATTTGGGTTGATTTGAAGGAGTACTGGGTAGGAATAGATTTTTGTAATGTTTATTTAGTTCGGTATTCATATAAACACATCACTGATCACATTAAATGTAGTACGTCTTGGTAATTTCTGTGGAAAGTTTATTTATTAAGTGATCTGCTTGTTGGTGTTTGCCTAACAGCATTATATAACCTGTTCGCTTATGGCATCCTACTTTTTGGTCACGTCGGAGAAGGAGGCCCAAAACATGTTCGATTCCAGAAACACAAAAATGTCCCGTAAATATAAATAAATATTTATGAGCTTCCTAATATGGATCAAAAAATATATCACTCTAAGTACTTACTAATTAATTTCAAGCATTCAGTAGACAACTTAGTACATAAATTTTGTGTTCACTCAAAAGTCTCAGTAAGTCTTATAAGCTAAACATTGGCTCCTTAAATGGATTATTCTGGACGATATGTCCTGTTACTGATTCGCGTGTAGAGGTAATTTAAAGTTAAATATGTGAGTACATGTACAACTCCAGTTAAAAAGTTCACCAGGTCATCCTACCTTAAAACCAAAATACAATTTCAGTCTGGAAAGACTTAGTGATCCTTAGTGATTTGATCTCAAGTCATCAGTTGCTTTAAACAGAACTGCTGCCCGCTTGCCAAACTGTAACGTAAGAAATCATGCCGTAGAATTGCAATCTACCAGGCTGATACATTAGTTTAGATAGACAGACGTTATGTCAGGCCATTGAAGCACGTGGTAAAAACCTTAAAAAGTTCGTAGAGTTTGGTCAATAATCGGCAAAGTTACTTGTTGGTCTTAGTTATTAGTATGTAAGTGGGTGAAGCTCATTAAAAACTGGTTATGAATATACTCATTTCTTCAATTTACCCACATCTCTCAAATATTTATTATTGTGTATACGTTTTCGTGTTCAGTCTACTCTATTGCAAAACCTAATACCTGGAAGTAATGCAATTTTGTGTGCGGCTCCATAATTTTGTACGGATTATACGTTTTTTTTCACGTGAAATTAGTCTCATGAATAGCATAAGAAAATTTTTTGCATCACTTAAGAAAATGTGACTTAGTAATTTAACGTATCTTTTTAGTGGTCTGAGGATTATCCAGTAGCAAGATAATTCACTTCGCGTTTGAGGATCCCACTCCAAAACAATGAATATTTTACCAAAAAAAAGGTAATGTCTTTTGTATGTTATTGATTAACAGATGGCATGTTTTAAAAAAAGAGAACATTGCTCGGGTGAGGTCAGATGAGGCAAAATATGAGGAGGAGCGAAGAAAATGTGAAATTAAAGCACAACTTGCTGTAAGGCATCTCAAAATCTTCGATTGACTTTATACGTTTAGGATCAGGAAGCGCGAATAGATTATTTAAGAAGACAAAAAAATAACCTAACATCTAGCTCGGGATCAGATGGATTCCAGATAACTCTAACAAAAGATAGTATCGTAAGTTGCGGATCGCAATAATCGGATAGCCAAAAGCTGAATGTCTCACAAGGAAACGCAGAATACGAAAATGAGAAGAAAATCGAACAAGAGAGAAAAGAGAAAGCAGTTGGGATTTTGACTTATTTAGGCCAAACTGTTCTTGATGCTGCCGGTGAAAAGCCATGGTATGATGTGCACCCTCGAACTTATGAGCGTCGTGAGAGCGAACGAAGAAAGTAAGCGCTATGGCATTTGATGATCAATCTATAGGAGCAAAGAAGAACTGGAAATAAAGAAGAAAACATTGGCTGACCCATTAACAGAAATGAAGAAGGTCGAGGAGATGTTCAAACACAATAAGGAAGTAAAAAGGCAGAGCGAAGCAGCTGAACTTCAACGTGCCAGTGCTTGCATTCATGCTATGCCAACCTTATTTCCTGATGACATAATGGTACCAAAGTGCCCATACAAAGAGGTTTGTTTAGGTTTAGTTCTACTTTGCTGTTTCTAAGTTTTATACTTATGCAACTGGTGGGTTAATTTATATGATGTCATTTTGCTGTCAGCAGGGACTGGAAACTATCATCACGGAGTAGGAAGTTGCGTTTACTTACTTACTTACGCCTGTTACTCCCAATGGAGCATAGGCCGCCGACCAGTATTCTCCAACATACTCTGTCCTGGGCCTTTTCTAGTTCCACCCAATTCTTGTTCATTTTTCTCATGTCTATTTCCATTTCCCGGCGTAATGTGTTCTTTGGTCTTCAGAATTCCATGTGAGGGCTTGTCTTGTGACTCAGTTGGATGCTTTCCTCAATGTGTGTCCTATCCACTTCCAGCGCTTCTTCCTGATTTCTTCCTCCTCTGGGATCTGATTTGTTCTCTCCCACAGTACGTTGTTGCTAATAGTGTCCGGCCAACGGATCTGAAGTATTTTGCGTAGACAACTGTTAATAAACACCTGCCCTTGTAGTTATCACACTTGCTGAGATCGCCTTTCTTCGGTAGTTTGATTAGGAGTCCTTCTTTCCAGTCTTTTGGTACTTGTTCCTCATCCCAAATCGTATTGAAGAGAATGTGGAGTATCCTTGCAGTTGCCGCTACGTCTGCTTTTAGTGCCGCTGCTGGAATGTTGTCTGGTCCTGCTGCTTTGCCACTCTTGATTTGCCTAATGGTCATGCTGATCTCTTCAATTGTTGGTGGGCCAACATTGATTAAGAGGTCCGTGGGTGCTGCTTCGATGTTGGGTGGGTTCAGTGGAGCTGGTCGATTCAAGAGTTCTTTGAAGTGTTCTACCCACCTGTTTTGTTGCTCTTCAATGTTGGTGATTACCTCGCCTTCCTTGCTTTTCACTGGTCGTTCTGGTTTGCGGCGATTTCCAGAGAGTTTCTTTGTCGTGTCACACAGTTGTCTCATGTTTCCTTCTCTTGCAGCCTTTTCCGCCGCCGTTGCTAAATCTTCCACATATTTACGTTTGTCGGTTCTGATGCTCCTCTTCACTTGTTTGTTTACTTCTGTGTATTCAGCTTGTGCCTTGGCTTTCTCTGCTCTTGTTCGACTGGTATTGATTGCTGCTTTCTTGTTCCTCCTTTCTCGAATCTTATCCAGTGCATCAACAGTGATCCATTCTTTGTGATTGTGCTTCTTGTGATCCAGGACCTCATGACATTTTGAAGTGATTGCCTCTTTGATCCCCTTCCAGTTGCTCTCTACAGTAGTTCCTTCTCCATTGAGTAGATCATGAAAGGCCTGGAACTTGTTGCTGAGGACTATCTTGAATTTGTTGAGCTTGTTAGTATCCTGAAGAAAGGCTAACCAGAAAAAAAAGTTGCTTTTAGCCATTGGTATTTATCTAAAACACGGAAGACGATTAAGAGCATTGTTTTGTTGGTTACAGAAGCTCACTGTGCTCTGTATTGAAATCGATAACTGGTTGGCGTATACTTCATACTTTGATAACTTAAATTTCAGTGGCGGTAATTTTTAGCAAGCGGTCAGTTAATCTAAGTACTCAACCACTGGATCGCTTGAGGTACTTCGGTTTTAGAAGCTAAGTAGTATATCGAACCACACAGCAAAAGTGACTCGAAACAAAGTAGAAAACTCAACGCTTGGTCAACTAAGTCATCATTTGCAATAGTTGTTAAGCAAAGCACTGAAACCCTGCACTTTGTTTATTTATTTGAACACATAAACATTGGTACAAGAGGGCACCAAATATTTATGCGCCACACAAAACAATGAGAATTCTAAGAGAAAGAAAAAAAGAATAATAACGAATAGATTAGTGTAAGGTGGTGTAATAATAATAATAATAATAATAATAATAATAATAATAATAATAATAATAATAATAATAATAATAATAATAATAATAATGGTAATGATAATGACGGAAACAGAAAGGTACAGCTAAAAGAATTCTTCCATTTAAGGAAGTTACAACTACTGTTTTATGAAGAAAGTAAAGGAACGTTACAGCAGGATCGAAACTGGCTTCCATTCTGAGCCATATCTGATAACGTCTCTAACCGCTGTGTAGCACCATCTTTAGGACCCCAACCAGGGAGTCGTGAAGGACAAACAAAAGCCAGCCCTTCGCAGCTTTCTTTCATACCACGACACCATGTCATACACTGACCACCTCTCCTCTTTTTCGAACTGTTATAATCTCTCTTTCTTACGGTATGACCCAGCTATACCTATTGCTTAGTATTCTTGGACACCAAATCACTCGACAAGACCCCAAATCAAAACACGGCTGAACAGGAAAGAGATTATATTCCAAATAACAAGGTTAGATGGAAGTAAGAAGCACAATAGGGAAAACGTTAGTACATTTATAGTTTTTACATGAGAAGATTCTAGAGTATTCTCCAAGGATCGACTAGTGTTGATTGGATAAGAATTAGCCAATCAGCGTGCACCAAAGCGATCGTGCATTGAGCATGCTTTAATCCAGTTCATGGCCCACTAACACCAACCAGTCCCAGAAACAGCAAATAATGCACGATATGGAATTTTCTGGGAAGACATTCGTAGAACATGTCCAAGACACCAAAGTCGGTGTTTCAAGATGGTGACACCAATTGAATTATCGTCTTTGCGCTCGAACACACGATGCCGAAGCTCTGCATTACTAACATGGTGTTGACACTGGATGTCAGCAATCCTTCGGAAACAGCGATGATCGAACACAGAGAGTCGTCTAACATCCTCAACTTGGAGAGGCCAGGTTTCACAAGCATAGAGCAAAACCGCTCCCACCCACGCGTTGTAGATCCGACCTTTTACAGCTAGACTGACATCACGAAGACGCCAAAAATGGCCCAGATTGGCATAAACCGCTCTGGCTTTCACTATATGTGCATTGATCTCATCAGTCAGGCCACCACCAGCACTTATGCAGTTACCTAGATACACGAACTTGTCAACTACTTCTATCTGCTCACCATCCAGGGTGAGTACAGGATTAGAATCCTGCCAGTCTTGTAGAAGTACTTTGCAGTTCGAAGGTGCAAAGCACATACCATACCTACGGACACTGATTGCCAACTGATTAAGTGCGGATTGCATGGCTTGGGCATTTTCGCACAGTAAGACAATATCATCCGCGTGCTCAAGGTCGAGAAGTCTTTCTCCAGGCAACAGATCCACACCGCCATTGCTTACATCCATCAGAGCTGTTTCCAGAATGTCGTCGATGGCAAAGTTGATGAGGAATGTTGAGATTGGGCAACCCTGCCTAACCCCACTGCTTGAATGGGACAATGGAGAGAGGTGGTTGTATGCCCTCACTCTGCCTGGGGTGTTTGTATATGGGGCCTTTAAGATGTTAACAAACTTCTCAGGCACACCCTTCTTCACTAGACAATCCCAGAGAACAGTCCTGTCCAACGAATCGAAGGCAGCCCTGATGTCAAGAAACATTACGATTGTTGGCCTTTGATAAGTATGACGGTGCTCTAACATTTGGTGGAGGGTGAAGATGTGATCAATACATCCTCAACAAGAACGAAGACCAGCCTACTCTCCGCGAGTCAATAATTCTCGGGTTTTGAACAACCTACGAAGTATGACGGAAGCTAAGAGTTTGGACGCAGTCGGAAGTAGAGTTATACCCCGATAGTTGTTAAAGAAACGATGTGAATGAAACGACAATACTTACGGAAAATCCTATACTTGCTGCACATCACACTAATTTTTCAAAGTAAATGAGTCAGAAATAAAGCACAAAACAACCGCAGACACCCATGCAATTTGCAAATCATTTAAGTTTCAATGATGTATGTGGTTTAGTACAGTTCTTATGCATTGGTGCGGAAAGTTTGGGCCTCCCTCGACGAAATTCCTGGATATTTTCATGGCGGTAATATCGTTTATTCAAAATTTAAAGAAAAAAGATCAGTTTGATTAGGTCCCACTTCACTATTGTGGCAAACATTGTCGATCCGCGTTGGCTTTGTGGTGCATACTATTAGTTATTGCATTTTTTCTTACTCGCTTATTGCAATGGATGTTTGCGTAAATTAAAATTTGTATAACTATGAGATTCGCTCCAAAAAGATTTTCGATGGTGTCTTTATTTCTTAACATACATACAGTCCGATTATATCGCGCATATTTGTGGTGCTAATATTATTCACTCTGTGATCAATATTTGTAATGGTGTGTTGCTATAGTAAAACTTTTCTTTCGTATAGGCTTCGAAAAGTCGACGAACAAGTAATAGGTATACTCAATCACTTACTGAAACTTCATGTAATTCATTTGGGGAGCTAACGAAAGATTTATCCACGGGGGTTTCTCTGAATCCCGAAAGTACGGATAAAAAATCAGAATTGATTGAAATGGCCAAGCGTTCAGACATTAATCGTCTTCGGGCTGAAAGACTGCAACGAGAACGAAAGGAAAGAGACAGGGCAGCAGTTTTACTGGCTAAATCTTTTGGTTTAGATGCTTTAAAACCTCCAGATCAAGAACAAGTGTATGTAGACGAACGAAGTTTGCCCTTTAATTCTGCATTTAATCCTGAACTGTCGGCTATCCTGGCTGAACGACGTCAACGACATCGTGAGTCGAGAAAGCGGAGTTACAAAGAGGTGAATTAAATCTTTGCAAATGGTGATTTCGCAAACTGTACATATTGTTTTTTTCATTTTCACAAATGATCTGTAAACTATTGGGATATGTTATGTGTAAGTAGTTCTAGTCGTTTGGCCAAAGCCTTTAGTTATCGTTTTCGATTGTCTCCAAAATATAAATGCCCTTTATTTGTGATTTTCATCTGTTTTATGAAATTATTAAGGCGGAAACAATTATAAACAAACTATAGTCGGGTGATTCTAGTATCATCATACTAAACTCTTGACCAAGTTATTTAGCAGTTGAACAGCACTTAGTGCAGCTTGTTATTCTATAATGAACTAACAAGTACATATACAATGCTGGTAAGCATCCCAAATAAAATACTTGTGTATGAGTAGTCATGTTTTTCTTTGGTCAGCAAGGGAAAGTGTAAGCTGTCTTGAGATTAGGTGTAAATTAAGAAGTGAAGGGGGACTTGACTGTACATAGTTCTATCATTATGATTTACGAAGTAATTAATAATTTGCTGTTAAGCGATTATTATTTGCAACTAGTGACAATGTCAAATGCATATTGAGTGCCAATTGACTATCAAAATTATGATCAATGGGATTTGTTGTTATTGTCCGACATGTCTACAGGAGCAAGCGGCTTACAGCCTCACTCAAGTGGAGGAGATAGTCTACTAAGGTTTACTTTAGAATTGCTTTCCTAGTTTTAGACGCTAAGTTATGTCTCCACTTGTAAGACTAGAAACAGTTTCTTACAAGTCCTCAGTTATCTAAATATTGAGCCGTGCCTACCATTTTTAGGCTTAATCGTTACTTGGAAAGAGATCATCTTTAATGATGATGATCTATGCGATACTTAGTACTGTCGCTTTTCTCGTGTACGGTAAACACAACGATTTCACTACCAGACCTTAAATTTGCAGCTTTCTATCAAAAAGCTGCTGATATTGTTAAGTTAGGATTTGACCCCAAACAAGTTAAGTCAGTGAGAAGCATAATTTTGTCATCGGGCGGATGTACTCAAATCAAAGCAGAAAAAGTAAGGAGTGTTACTATTGCTTGATGTGATTGAGTTCACACTTAGATATACAATAATTGAGACAATAGTGCCATGAGGTATATGTGCAACTAGTGTTTACAATGTTCAAGAGTGAGTTGTGTAAGACCTTACTCGATTTTTCGGATGGGAACTTGTAGCATTAAGACTTCTGATAAGACAGTAGAATAATACTGTAAGGAATATGTATTGATGGGTATCCCAAGAGAATCTAATCACATCCAAGTCTACTCAGTTACACGTCAATTAATCCAGTGATCCATTCCAAAAATTTATCGGATTGAGTAATCATCAGTTTGCACAAAACAGGAGTAAATTTATGAATACAATGAAAATGCCTTAAAATCATCTAATTAACTACACATTTAATAAAGCGATGCAAATGAATGCACATTGAAAGTAAAGAAACGGATTTGATTTTTCCTAAATATAGTGTTCGGGGATTTAGTATCTTCAGGATTAAGTTGAACAGTATAGTTAAAATGATAGGAGGCGGTTTTTGAATTTTAGAGAGGGATAGTGTAGATTATTCACAATGAAGTAAGCTTTCTTTTATTTTGTGGTTCTCTCTCCTGCTGAAAGGTGTCGAAAACTAGGATAATGTAACTCAGTTTGATTACACACTATTAGTTCGTCATATTAAATCTTCAAATTAAATAACTAAAAGTATGTTTATGCTGAACTACAAGAACTTTACAATGTGGCGAAAATCTAGTCAGGATATAAATTTCCTCGTAATCGGACAATGATAATAGATATAAACAAGTTTAGTAAGGTTTAATTGAAACATGTTAGAATAGCGTAAATGCGGTATAGTTTATATACACAGGAAGGTAAGTATTCGTAGCCAAATAAATCTCCAAGTGGGTAGTACTTAAAAGCATGAAGGCCGGGAAATAAAAACTATGAGGATGAAGGCGTTTAACTAAATGTTAGTGAAACAATTCGAGATATTCACTAACGGCACTTAAAATAACTGCAATTGTTATAGTTCTACAGGTGAAACACTTGGTAAGTTGATCTGTATTTCAACTAAACAACTGACCTAAACCAGTTTATAGTATAGAAAATCAACTTGGGTTAGGAATAAAAAATAGTTTACACAATACGGAATATTAAAAGTACAAATATTGGAATAGAACTGTACGGTTAGTGAAGTCTTCCAACGAATGATAAACAGCTAACCAAACGGATACTGTAAGATTATTTCACATGCACTTGGAAGTTTAGGAAAACGGAACATTGTCTCAAACTATGTACACTTTTAAGGTGCAATATGCTACATTTTCTTTAAAAAGTTTAAACAGTCATCAGGGATATCAACACCTTGGATAATGCTATCTACTGGAAATATTTGTTCAATTATAGAAGTCAAACATCTGCTCAGTTGGAACATTGTAGGTCGAATCATGGGATTTACAGCCCAACCACTGAAAAAAGAGAAGGGTCAAAAATAAGAAAACTTAGTTCCGAAATAACCTAGTTCGATATCTTATCATGATGAGTAAACTATATTAAGTAAAAACATAAATAGCAAACGATGTTTCAAATAATTGTAGCCCCGAGGTGGCTTCTTTCATTGCACGCGCTTGAGCAAAACGTCATTTATGTAGGTTTCTGTAAAGGCATCATAAGTAGAGATACTGTAGCAAGTTTGAGGTGACATTATTGATCAATTATTAGATTATTAAAGGGATCTAAGGTATATATGCAAATGTTGCTGTAAATTAAAAGATGTAACGGGCTCCATATGACAATATAAGAATAAATCACGCAGAAACCAATTCAAATTTCTGTGCCTATATCAACATTTCGTACTTTAATTTATCGCTCTGAAAAGCGAAGTAATGAAAAAGGTTATTTTCAATTAGAGCAATTTATCAACTATTCTAAAGCACCTTGAATATTTCTAGTTCATTACTTTAAGAATAACTGAGGTAGATTCTACTAGCTGAGTAAGGTAATGACTAACACTTTTACAGGGTATGAAGTAGTAGCTGAAAGTCCAAACGCTAACCGAAGATCCTAGTAATCGAAAAGGATTTTAAACAAAACTCCGTGAAGATATTCGGAAAAGCAATTTTGTGAATGCTCAACTCTATGAGGAAGCATGAACAATGAATAAACATGATAACATAATATGAATATTTGAATACTAGTGTAAATGATAACAACACGCGGATGTGTATCTTTCACAGAATTAGCACAAATAAAGGGGTGCAAACGTAATCATATTGGATGATAGTGTGAATAAAGTAAGATCGGAGGTTTTTGTCACAACTAATGGTGTTAGGGATAGTAAGTGAAGTGGTATCAGAAACGATTTCGAATAAAATTATAGATATGGGAACTAATTGGAGAATGAGTGGTATTTTCGAATGGAAAATCGATTAAATGAAAATAACAGGTCAAGGCCACAATAAAGACAAAAACAAGACATGCTTTTTTTGTACACAATGTTCAGACTTCATCCCATGAACAGAAGGAACATCTACTGTTTTAAAAAATTGGATACGAAGTCTTGGTAGATTTGAACGGATTCTATAAACAATATGTAAGTCAGTTGAGTGGTAACAGTTTATTAAGTGTCCGAGGATAAAATGCCTAATTGATTTACTCGGGTTGTTGTAAGACCAAGCTTTGACATGTCCTATCAATGCTGAAAGCTGGTGTTGACTGTTTATGTACCTTATCGTACAGAAGCAGGCATGGAGTTGAACCTTCTCTCATTCTTTCCCTCCCACTATGTATATACGACTGTACAACTTGGCGAGGAATTCGGCGAAAGCAGATTGATTCTCTGAATGTCGTGTCTTTAATATTTAAGAACGCAGTGAACATCTTACCTTTTTCTAGGCGATGTTTTGATTACCACTAACATGGTTTAGTGTAGCTTTATAAACAGTTTACCAAGTAAAGTTTATCAACTCAGCTTTGAGCCACACTATTATCAAGTGCTTCAACAATCAGGTAGCTTGTGTGGAAGGCATGCACAATATACCTTAGTTATCAAAAGTTTGCCAAGTTGTTAAATGAACAAAAATAGCTAAATCGGCATCACAGAACAGTGACTATTACTAGTAATTTGTAACTACATCCCATCAACTAGTTCCTGAATCATATGTATTGACATGATCGTTCTTAATTAGAAACTAAAATATCTAGACAAACACTACTCGCTTTCGAAATAACGGGGCGAGTAGTGTGAAAGTATAACTTTTGGGACTATCATACGGAGGATTATTACTTATACTTTTATTGTATACTTAGTGAACGTTTGGATCTTTGTGTTCCTATATTTGCCTATTTCTAAACTTTACGTTGACCTATAAATCGCTGCTGTCTTATTGTTCATCAATGAATTATTTCCCTAGCACTACGGTTTTGTATCACTTATGACTAAGCTATGTATACGTTGTAGTTTTCTGCTTCTGTGAAGTCAGTCATTTTAGGTATATTATTGTGAGTTTTGAGTCTAGATTGAATACAATACAGTAGCTAATTATTTATTTTCGGTCTTCATTTCATTAGACACTGGGTTAAAGTAAGCGTTAAGGTCTTGGTTCTTGTGTATTAGTGTGTGTGATTTGAAAAACAAGAGGTCATCAGCCCAACAGGGGATTACAGACGAACCAATCAATATTCGAACTAGAAAATATAACGGCGCGATCATACACAGTAATTTGTTTTGTTCGGCGTCGCATTAACTTTTCCCAGTGAAGTCTGATAATTCTTATATATTTTGTTGCTAAATTACCTAACTCGCCCATACTTCATACTTTAACTAATTCTGTCAATCGTGACAGACTAAAATCTATTAATGTGAGAGTTATTGTGAGTGTTTTCCCATCCGGGAATAAGAAGGACGACTTACCTCTCAATAATAATGCTTAGTAGTTCAGGACACCCAGCTAATGTAGGTGGTCGCTGAGTAATAGAAGACCAAAACTTGTCTGCTACATCACGTCTTTTCAGGATTTTATTTGGGGGTTCACGAGCTAGAAATTCCCAAAATGTAACCGCTAAACTGTAGACATCAGATTTTTCTGAGTACGGTAATTTTTCACCTGAATATATTTGTTGATGAGGTAAAAGCGAAAAAAATAAGTGAGGATGAGTAAATGAGAGTATATTTATTATTTATTTATTTGAACATACAAATATTGGTACAAAGGGGTACCGAATACATATACGCCACATAAGTCACTCGATTTGTGTGTGGGCTATGATACTGCCCGAGTACCCAAACCGAAGTAGGTGGTTTTCTTAGGGGGCTAAATCCTGAGCCTTCGACCTAAAGGTCTGATCCACAAGGCGGTGGAGCAGCGTCAGGAGATACAGTCCCATGGTAGCCGGTGACCAACAATAGGTTCATACATCATTTGTCCTCTCGGGATCCCGGAGCCCATGTGCACCATTGTTTTGGAGTCAGGGCTTTCCAACTTCTCTAGGTGGGCCTTCCGTGTCCACCAATCCGGCTAAAGGGCCGGAAATTTACTTTTCGCCCCCCCCCCAGTTTCGTAAACGATACCCCCGTCGCGAAAGACAGTAAGTAGGGCTTCCCTGACATTGGCTGTATACGCGTGACCATGTGAGAGCATTTGAAGAGGGAGAGCTGACTCTCCGTACCCTCGGCCGTACTAGAGCTAGATAGGAAGAATAAATGAGGGTAGCGATGATTTTACGTGACACAAAAATTCAAGACAAAGATTAAACCAAAAAATAATTTTACTAATTCTGGGTGTATCATGTTGGTTTAAAAAATAAGTTAGATGAGGAAATAGTCACTTTCAGTACTACATAAACATATATTCGTTTGATGAACCGCACATTAAAGTAAAAAAGAGTAATCCAGAAATGTTTGTTGGGTGGTTAGAGACAAATTAACAACTAAAATCCCGAAACCCTGGAACTCTTCTACTCATTGGGTGGCGAAAAATCCGCCATATACAATAAAGTGTATTGTGATTGGTTTCTGTCACCTATCACAAGTGTGAGTTTATTTAGTATCTTTTTATTTAATAATTAGCTTTTTCTGACTTACAGAAATTTATCCGCATTTTCAAGACAATAAATCTACTGATAAGGGTGAGGAAAGTTTTACATTTTATATAGACTGTTTCTATGTTAACCATATGAGTGACCACAGTTAGGATACATTGTATTTGCGTTAGACAATGATATGGTGAATAAATTTACATAGATTAGGGGAAATCAGTAAGATTCATTATTAGTGATAAATGCAGCAAATCATATTTACTTACCACTTCGAACTGTCCATAGTTCTGGGGCCATATAACACAGAGTTCCAAAAACAGAAGGTTCATCAGACAAAGTAGTTCTAGATGATCCAAAATCACCTAATTTAACTAAACGCAGTCTATCAAAACCTAAAATATTGGAAGGTTTTATATCTGCATGTATAACTGAGGGGGAACATAAACGATGTAAATAGTCTGAAGCCCGACTAATTTGCAATATCCAATTCAAAGTATTAACCAGGTTATAATGAACTCCAGAGAAGTCATACAAAACTAAATAGCAAAATAAAACAATATAATTTTATAAGATTAGTAGTTCAAACGAAATTCCACAGCACAGATTTCGGTGAAGATGTTGACACTTGATGAAGACGCGACAGAATTCGGAGCGATAGCTTACTAGCAAAAACCCTGACTTTCAACCAATAGACTTCAGGTTTAAGGTCTATCCCATCTACTTCAATTTAGGCAGCTGGATAATAACAATAACCTTCATGTGAACAACGTAGTTTAAAGCCGAGTACATAAACCACTTTTACTTGGTAAATAAGAGTATACAGAATATCTATAAGGTTCACATAGTTTTGGGGACTTATTTCTTTTTCTGTAACATACCGACGAAATTACATTAATGAAATGGAGAATTTATTTGATGTGACAACTAACTTGTTGTCATTAGGCTGGAATGCATTTACTAAGGGGTTTAAGATGAAACACTGTATGTGAATGAGCTCGAAACACATAACTACGCTATTTGCCCGACACTAACCACACGTAAGGTTTCAAGAGGCTGCTGAAAAAAGAAACCACCAAGTTCCAGCACACAAGAGTAGATTTTTAGTAGGTTTTAAACAGTTCAAGTTGTCTGAATCACCATTTAATTTACTGAGTGCTCTTTTTTGACAGAGGCAGCTAATGATGGTCTTGAGATGAGACTAATAGACGTACAAGCTACAACAACTTGATCTGTTTTAAGAATCCAAAATTAAATTCTGATCATCGTTGACAAAGGGTGAGTCAATCTATATTTGTGAACAATAGTTCTAGCCTATGAGCTCCAAGACGTTAACTCAGGCATACATATGATTTTAGACTACAACGCACTAGTGAGAAACTGCGAAAGGTGCTAACTCAGTAAATTGGGCTTCAGTGCAAATGTTTTAAACTTCGCGTAGTGTTCGGGTGCAAAATAATCCTCACCCTACAATTACAGGCTAAATTTAACTTAGTCTGTTAAGATTAAACGGGGCTAAATTTTCTGTAGAAACGAACAATGGATTTGAGAGGGTTTGACTAACGTGAATGTGATAATACATAAGAAAGTGCAGAAAGTGGTTTTTCAACTTCCCAAATGTGACAATATGCAACCATAAGTATCATTTAATAATTCTGTGACTGAGATAATTACATGGCTATGATGAACATTTGGCTGACTAAGTAACCAAGAACATAGTGTGAATGGTAGAGATTTATTTTGACTCAATTAAGGACTGCATGAGATACGAGGTGGGATTCTAAAACAAAATACAACCGAACCAAATTTGTACCAGGTATGATCCAGTTTGCAAGACTAATCACTCTGTGCACTTTAAATACAATAGCCTGGCTAAACAGAACAAACTTTAGTCAGTGGAAATAAACTTAAACTACAACACACTTTTTAAGAATGTAAGGTGCCACGTCCCGCATTAATCGTGTTCGCTATTATGATGTTGTGGTTGATCTTGTTGGTGACGCTAACATCGAACTACGTTAGGTGGGACACTTGTTCCTTGAGGTTCAAACATGTCAGGGGTAAGACCACAAGCAGCTAATTCAATGTTCGAGGGTGAAGTTTTACTAGCAATTGCACTGGAGTGTATCCCAAGAATAATCAGCATATGTAGTGATACTTCCTTCTTACGATGGAGGAGTTAGAAAAGGTTGATCCTAAAGATATTACCCCTCACTTTGTGTCACAAATTTCCTGTTCCGGCCGTAAGAGTTAAAAATATGGAATCAATATATCGAAAGCCAATCCACAAATAAGCCTCAAGTAGCCGTCATGCCATCAGGTCAGTTAAGGAACTACTAACCCAGGATCTATTTTCAGGAATCCCATTAATATCGTGAAACTCCGGTTGTCTCAAACAATGGAGTTTTAATTTTTTGTCGCATATGGATCCTGATGAATAATTAGGTTACGCAAAAAATGCTGTTTGAAGGAGTTTCGAAGTTCTTAGTTGAAGTTTTGTTACAGTCTTATTAAGAGTGTCTATCCAAAAATTGAACTTTAAGTTCGGAATTAACCTCAAAAAAGTTACATCTGAACATAAAGTGTTAGGTTTAAAACAGAAATATTTCTGTTTTGGTAATATTAATTACTAAGGCTTTATTGATGAACCCCATATCAAAGTTCAGGAGTGAAGACAATATGATGTTTGAGGAATTTGAGTTATGTTAATAGACCAGAAAGCTAGTCAATCAGTCACTTATACTTAACGTAAGACCTGGTGCATGTGTGTTACTGGCTAACTTACTTACGCCTGTTACTCCTTCTGGAGAAGCATGGGCCACCCACCAGCACTCTACATCCAACTCTGTCCTAGGCAATCCTTTCCAGTCGTTATTAATCCTTTTCACGTCTGCTTCCGATTTCCGACATAGTGTGTTCTTCGGCCTTCCTCTTTTCCGTTTCCCTTCAGTTTATTGATTTTCGTAATGTATGTCCTATCCACTTTCAACGTTTTTTCCTGAATTCATCCTCAACTGGAAGCTGATTTGTCCTTTCCCATAGTAGGCTGTTGCTGAGGGTTTCCGACCAACGGACATCGAGTATCTTACATAGACAATTGTTTATAAATACCTGTATCTTTTTGATGATGGTTGTAGTTCTCCACGTTTTAAATTCATATAGTAGGATTGTCTTGATATACGTATTGAACATTCTGACTTTGATATCAGTTAACAGTTGTTTTGAGTTCCATATGTTCTTCAACTGTAGAAATGCTGCACTTGCCACACTAGTTGTCTTCACCAGCATTTGTTCGTGTGTATGGAATAGAAGGGCCAGGTTATCTGCGAATTCAAAATTTCTAATTGATTCCGAGCTGTCTATTGTATTCCGTGCTTTCCCTTAAATGTTGAGGTCTTCATAATCTAGTCGACTATCAGAAGAGGAAGGGGGAGAGTAGGCAACCTTGTCTGACGACGGTTCTTCCTTGGAATGCATCTGTCAGCTATCCTCCATGCACAACTTTGCACTATAGTCCGTCGTATGAATCCCGGTTAATGCTGACAATCTTTTAGGTACTCAAAGAAGTTTCCATAAAGTCCTCCTATGCATACTGTCAAACGCCCTCTCATAGTCAATGAAGTTGATATATAGTTACGAGTTCCACTCAACTGATTGTTCAATAATGATAGATAGTGTTGTGATTTGGTCTCTGCATGACCGATCCTTACGGAATCCGGCCTGCTAATCTCGAAGTTGGGCGTCTACTGAGTCTTTCATCCGGCTCAGCAACACTACGCTGAAAACCTGTGTAAGGTGTGATCGATAAACGAACTCACCAATGATAAAGTGAAACGCCCACCACCACACTAACTTTCTTTGACCTTGTATGACTATGTCTTGTTTATTCACCAATCACAATTTTATGTTCACTATAAAACAATATTTGTTGACTCATTTTTTCCTATCCTCTACCTACTGTTCGAAACAGATACAGTTTATCAAGCCAAATAGCTTACTTGTTCTGACTTTGGCTAGACCAAGACTATGTGCTCGACAGTCTAGAGAATAGCTTAGAGTTACACCTGTAGGAAATTGCTTCCTACACTTGGCCTGGTACTGACAGTAGTGTGATGCCTCTGCAGTTCTTGCATTTGCTCAGATCTCCTTTATTTGGCGTCCTTCTTTCCAGTCCATCTGCACATCTTCTTCCTTCCAAATCTTCTTGAATAGAGGGTAAAGCATGTTTTCAGTTACTGCAATGTCTGACTTCGGTGCTTTAGCTGGTATATTGTCAGGTACTGCTGCTTTCCCGCTCTTGATTTGTCTGGTGGACATCCCGGTTTCTTCGATCGTTGGTGGAGTGACATCTATAGGAAGGTTTATGTGTGCTGTTTCGATGTCCAGTGGATTCAATGAAGCTGGTCTATTCAACAGTTCTTTGAAGCATTCTACCCATCTTTTTCTTTGCTTTTGAATCTCAGTGATTGTCTTGCCTTCTTTGTCCTTCACTGGTCTCTCTTGTTTACTATATTTCCCTGCTAGTTTCTTCGTTGTCATATAGCTATCTCATATTTCCTTCTCTTGCAGCTTTTCCCACTCTTTCACGTATTTCCGCTTGTCGGCTCTAATGCTCTTCTGCATTTGCTTATTTGCCTCAATGTATTCAGCTCGTGTCTAGAATTTCTCTGCTCATGTTCGGCTGTTGTTAATTGCTGTTTTCTTGTTCTTTCTTGATTCTTGCTCACGGTTTCGGCAGAGATCTATTCCTTATGATGCTTCTTGAGGTCCAGAACCTCCTGAAACGTTGAAGTTAGTACTTCTTGGATCCCTTTCCAGTTGTCCTCCATAGTGGTTTCTCCTTCTTTCAGTAGATCTTGTAAGGCTTGCAACCTGTTGTTGAGAGCTATATTGAATTCGTTGAGTTTGTTATTATCCCGAAGGAAGGTTGTGTTGAACCTTTGTGATACTGTTTCCCCAGTTTTCCAGTGTTTCTTCAGCTTCAGTTTAATCTTGGCCACAACCAGGTGGTGATCTATATACCTATAAAAATTGTTGCTCTGGTTGTTAGAAGGGGCACCGGCCTCGTGACTTCTGAATAATTTTGGCTTTCATCATGAGGCGTCGTAGTTCTTCCTTCAACTTCCAAGGCAGAGGTTAAGTGGTTTAATTTGTTTAATCTGGTTGGCATTTTCTAGCAAGATTTTTTTCTACGGGATGCGGTTGCCGACCCCATGCCCAACCCTCCTCCTTTACCCGGGCTTGGGACTAGTAGTAACTCTAGGAGAGCTACACGCAGAGTGGGTCAATTCAATTCGCTGCACACAAGATGTATAGCAAAATGAAATTTCCAGGGTAAACTCCAAAGTAGTAGATGTAGTAACAGTATAAGTGGTAATAAAAGATATTAGGCATAGATGTGACTTAAGAGAAAAATCTGGATAAGTGGGATAAAAAGGGTATCTTTATCAACCTATGAGGATTATTTGACTTGTGTGTGTACTCAGATACCTGGCAAAACTACGTAATTATGAACTGAATACTCATACGATGATAGCTCTAAGAAACTTTAAAGGAATTCAACTAAAGATCAGAAACGTCCTTTATTAATGTTGTATGAGTAGATGATCTAAATAAGGATGAAAAATAAATACGAGGACTCAGTTATCAAAAAGAAATAAAGCACGACTATGGGCCTTGAACTATCATCAGCAACTGGTATTGTTAAAAATGATCTGTATGGTTTCAAAACTTTTTACACCAAATGCTGATTAGTTATTTGATCGACTTAAGGCACCTTTTATTTGTATTCAGTTTATTTATTCAAACACAAGCATTGGTACAAGGAGGCACCAAATATGTATGCGCCAAACTTCATCATTCGATTTGTGTGAGGGCTGGGATGCTGCCCGAGTACCCAAACCGAAGTAGGTGGTTTTCTTAGGGGGCTAAATCCTGAGCCTTCGACCTAAAGGTCTGATCCACAAGGCGGTGGAGCAGCGTCAGGAGATACAGTCCCATGGTAGCCGGTGACCAACAATAGGTTCATACATCATTTGTCCTCTCGGGATCCTGGAGCCCATGTGCACCATTGTTTTGGAGTCAGGGCTTTCCAACTTCTCTAGGTGGGCCTTCCGTGTCCACCAATCCGGCTAAAGGGCCGGAAATTTACTTTTCGCCCCCCCCAGTTTCGTAAACGATACCCCCGTCGCGAAAGACAGTAAGTAGGGCTTCCCTGACATTGGCTGTATACGCGTGACCATGTGAGAGCATTTGAAGAGGGAGAGCTAGCTCTTATCATCCTCGGCCGTACCAGGGCATTCGAGTTTGTAATTAGTAGAACCTCTGTGAGTGATACCTTGGTGGAATAAAGTTTCAGAAGATAATAATAGATCAGCTCTTGGTCATAAGCTCACACAAACTAAAATAATAACATGCAGAACCACAGACCGCGAAATGTGATATCAGTAGAAGTACACGTGAAATCTAAGAAATTTCTAGGTAGTTGAGTAAATATAATCCATTCATCTGTAAAGGCGATGACTGAATATGAGAGAAACGGAGAAGCGTATGATTGTTACTTTCAGTCCTTAGAAAATTTCGTCTCGATGTATAAAATTCTAGATGACACATGTATGATCTCACTCTACAGGAGAAGCTGGACTATTTACCCCATTCTTGTCTAAACACATTTGACCTATTAATTGCTTGTTCTGAATTCCACCAGTATCTTAATTCTTTATCTTTCCTGTTCTAGATGTCTGCAAGTAAATCTTTTTGTGGTTACACGATAAGTCAGGTTGAAATGATGACTAAGATAACAAATGGTCCCAAAGAATTGCAACTGGTCTAGTTGGTCTAGTGATACTACTACAGCTTACTCCCTCTCAAAGTAGACACGGATTATGTCCGGAATGGTAATGAAAGATTAGCATCTAAATTGCTCAGATTAGAGAAAACAGTAACACTAAAAATTGAGGGTTAAGAGGGAACTAATCTGTTTTGTTCCTTGATTATTTCTAATGTAATGATGAAGAGGTGAAAAAGTCGAGTGATACCAACACTGAAATTTACCGTTTTGTAATGAATGACAATTGGCATACTCGAGGATCAAAAAAGAACAATCCAATGGAAGTGAAGGTCCGGCACCAATCAAATGTATGATATTTTCATGTTCAAGTTGAGCAATAAGTGATAATTCTTTTTGGGCTAGAGGCTTGTGCTTCTCATGAAAGAATTTAACTACAACGTTCTTGCCCTCCCAAACTCCAAGATAAACATTGGAGAATGAAGTGGTTGCCAAAGTAAACTGAACAAACAAGTTAAATGAGAAACGAAAAGCAACTACCTTATCTTCAAGAATTTTTCTCACAAGTTCGTTTTTTACGCTAATAAGTGATTTACGACAAGAATTGTTGGTCATACTTCACCCGAATATCCATGAGAAGTTTGAAAAAAGCCTGAAATGTGTGAAGGTTAGAGTTTTTAAGCTGGATATATCAGAAAAATAAATTATATGCTTGTGGCTACCTGAAAACAGGATTAAAACGTTGGAGGATATTACGAATTTTTTTAACCTTTCATCGTTTAAGCAACAACTCTGTTAGTCGTTTTTAAACCTGTAAACTTTACATGGATACCTCACAGTGGAGTTTTGTCCTGTTCATTAGAATTGCATTAGGAAAACAACCAACTTTTAAGAATTTTCGCACTATTTCGAGACAGTTTTAACTTAGGAGCTTCTTCTAGACCCAAATACAAAGTAAACAAACCGTCTGCCCATGGTGGGCTTTGATCAAGACTACTATGCTTTTGTGAGAGTCCAGTCTTCTTTTAAATGAGTCAGTTGAAGGGGAGGACACCAGTGCCTCGGGTAACAGGTCCCAAGAATTGATGACTCAGTGTGAGAAAAGGAATAACACAGGCCGTAAGCCTTCTGTTCTTACTACAGAAATCTCAATCTGAGATTTTCACATTAGCGTATAGTAGCATCGGGGACTCAACTATACTTGGGAGTTCATTTACATACAGTATAAAAAGTAAAGGACCTAGGATAGCCTTACTGTACTCCACCAAGTACTGGTTTCCAGGAAGAGTATTTGGAATCTATTCTTACTTTCTGCCTACGACCTTCCACGAAATCCTTAATTAACTTTAGATTTTCCAGCTTTGAGAATAGTCTATTACTCATCTACCTTATCAAATGCCTTACTGAAGTCTATGTAGAAAACATTCACCGATTTCCCATTGTTTGGAGCCTCTGTCCATTCCTCTCATATTGTAAGAAGGTGCAAAGTAATCCATTCCTGAATCCATGCTTACTGTTTAACAAATTGTTGGTTTCCATGTATGTTATGATTATTTCTCCCAGTATTTCACTAAGACACTTGCGAGAGAGACAGTCTGTAGTTTGATGAAAGTTGTCTTGGTCCTGTTTTATGTATTAGAGTGACGATTGCATCCTTCCAGTCCGTAGGTAACACACCTTAACTGCAATATATTGTGCAGTTTGTCTCAAGATTTTGGGGTGTCCAAGTGCTAAGAGCCTTAAGTACATCGTCTTGATCAAAGTCCACAGTGAATAGACGGTTTTTCGACTTTGTATTAGGGTATAGTTCTTTGTCTAGAAGGGGCTCTTGAGTTAAAAACTTCCCTGAAATAGTTTGCCATGACCTCTGCTTTACTGTGATTATCCTCTATCATTTCAGATCCACTCTCTTCCGTAATTAGTTTTGGAATCCAATGCTGTGTCCTTGTTCTGTAATTTATGTACGAGAATAGTCTCTCTTAGACCGCTTGGTTACAGATTGGGCTAACTGCATTTCACATATTCTCTGAGCTTCCAGAATTGTAACTATACACTTATTTCTCACCGACCTGTAGCGTCCTATCGTACTTGTTATACAAAAGGTGTTGGTAACTTTCCAACATCGCTTCTTTTGTCTTAGTAAACGTTGAATATTCCAGCCTATCCAGGGTATATATGGTTGAGTTACCTGATTGTATAACTGCCTGAAATGAGTCCATGCCTCTTCTACTGGTGCCCTTGAATCCAGTTTTCAGCCGATGCTGCATAGTTGATTGCCTTCATGACTGCCCTCCATATGTTAGGACGGGCCGGCGCAACTGTTTGATAGGACATCTCAGCCATAAACTTGAAAAAGATGACTGCGTGACCACTTCTCCCAAGAAGGGGGAGGAAAGTTATTTGACTGACATTATCATCGTGTGTGAAGATTAGATCCAGGAGAGAAGAGGAGTTTCGTAAATCATATCTGGTGGGACCTCTAATTTGCTGGAATAAAGCTAGCACAATTACGGTTTCTAACAATTTTTAATCAAATGATGTTATTGATGATCTTACTTGTAAGTTTCCCCAGTTTATATAAGATACATTAAAGCCGCCTACTATATGGCTTTTACAACTAATAAACGAAGACTTGAGTTTGCTTGGGAGGAAATCATCTACTACACATTCTGGACTGCGGTATACTACAACTAATTCTATATCTTGTCGTTTACATTTCAGCATGCAGCGCACCAGTCCGCATGTCCGTGAATCATATGCCACTGTCTCGACCCCACCCCCCTACGGTTTAGCCTATCAGCTCTATTAGATAAAAATCCAATCAACTGAATCCCGCTATCACACACTTCTGACGTTAACCATGTTTCTGAGACAGCTATGACATCCGGGTTTTCTATATCCACCATTGCCTTGAGCTCCACCATTTTATTTTGTGGGCTGATAGCATTTGTATGGCACACCCTTAATTCCGTGAAGAACTTTACTTTACCATCCAGAGTGCTTTGAGGATGGTTTTGCTCCGAACTTTTACAATTTGAAAACCCTTAAGTACAACTTTTTCCACCGTTTCCACGGCGCTCATTTAGTCCTACTTCTGCCGATCGTCCCTTAATACGATCAACCAGGCCGATATCATTACGGACGTATATTTCGGATCCAATCAGTCTGTGTGAGTTTCCCAGTATTAGGTTTTTTTCTTCAGCCGAAGCAAAGGTAACCATTAGGA